GTATTCACTAATTAATCCTACCATGATGCTAAAGTAAAATAATTTTTCAAAACAAAGACCCATGTTAATTAGATGTACTCAAAATAAGTATGAAAATGACCATGGAAGTTTTGCAGTAGAGACACATGAGGCTGGGATGCTGAAAGATTTTTAATATTTTAGATATGGAAATAAATCATTTGGGAAGTTTTGTGATTAAATATTCTCAGGTATTTTCTTTAATTGAAAATCTAATAAAACATAAAAAGCTGATTTTTTATGTGCTGGTTCTAATATGTTAATATTATACTAACTAGGCAAAGGAAATTTTAAAGATAAAAGTGGGGGAAGGGTTATGCTGGCACCTCCTTACTCGCCCTTGACCGCATTTTCTTCCGGTATATATAAATGTCTTTGCTAGTCTTTCAAACGTACTTATTTGGTCAGCTGTGAAACCAGTGATGTTTTAGGAATCAGGCAGAATTTGAGGAGCTCTCTAATTGCCTGCTGAAATTTGAAGTCCTGCCCAGTTAGTGATCATTATCAAAGGGAGAACCTCCAAGTTATTCGAAAATTATCAGTAACACACTCGCTGGCTCGAGGGAGGGGAAGGGGGACAGCTTCCCACTGTCACTCGTCATGTCGTGGCTGGTCCCAGGGCTTAGCAATGGGGACAGCGGCTGGGGGCTGCACACGCGTGTGCCCACGCACACACCACTGTGCACAGGGCAAACCGCGGCCGCGGATGCCTGCTGCGGCCGGGTGCTTGGGCTGGGCAGAAATAGGCAACGCTTGCAGCACGTTCAGAAGCTGATGGGCAGCATGCAGGGAGGGCAGTGACAGGTAACCACCGGGTGGCACTGCTGTAATGACAGAACTCGTCACTGCTCGGAAGTCCTTACACCATTTTTCGCGTAGCAACAATTCAAAATAATTGATAAAGTGCAAGTTACAGTTGACTTAAGGCAGAGTTGTTTTATAGCAATCAAACTTTGTTTCATCTAGGTTTAGATTTTTTTCAAAAAGGAAAAAAAATTTTGAGTCCCAGTCCTGCATAAATGTGTTCATATTTATTACAGAGTTACTAGGCTGATTGCCTTTTTTAAGACTTACCATTAGTATAAAATTAAGGCTGTGCAGACACACATGCAGCATTAGGGAAACATTTATTGGGAAGAACTTCTTGTGGAGTTTTCTTGGTAAGGAAGTGCTAGAACTCAATTAAAACATTTAACAGATTGTTTTGGCGTTATCTCATTACCTCCAGTCTTATTGTTTTATGCTTAAAAAGTAGTTAAGAGATTTATGGGTAACTTTTATAGCAGGGCAAAGTGAGTTCTATGTGAGTTCTAAGTTACTGTAAATTGGCAGGCAAGATGGAATTTGGTAACCTTTGATAATTCGTTTGTGTGTTCATGATGTGCTGTGTAATTGCTGATCACGCTGAGGAGTTTCCAGAAGTTCAAAGGGGTATGGACTGGGATAAGAGTTGCTCAAAAGAGGTCAGAAGCGATCATAGTGTTATGGGTCCAACGTTCAACATGGAAAGAAGGGTTTGTTTAGCAGAATGACCTGCTCACAGGTCACACTGGGGATTTTGCACAGCTGCGCTGTAATATTCAGTGGGACTTGGTGCTGGAAATATACTAAAAGTACAACAACATTTGCAAAAATGAAACCACATCCACGTATACATGCATAAATGTTACATGATAATAAGGAAGTTATCTACCGCTTTAAATAATATGCTTCAAATAATATAGTACTAGCTGCATTAGATGCTAGTACTATGCATTAGATGAAGTATTGCCAGCAGGTCGAGGGAGGTGATCCTTCCCCTCTGCTGAGCACTGGTGAGGCTACACCTGGAGTGCTGGGTCCAGTTCTGGGCTCCCAAGTATAAGATAGACATGGACATACTGGAGAGAGTCCAGTAAAGGGCCACAGAGATGATTAGCAGCATGGAGCATTTCTCCTATGAGGAAAGACTGAGAGCTGGGACTGTTCAGGCTGGAGAAGAGAAGGCTCAGGGGGATCTCATCCCTGTGTACAAACACCTGGAGGGAGGGTGCAAAGAGGACGAAGCCAGGCTCTTCTCAGTGGTGCCTGGTGATGGGACCAGAGGCAGTGGGCACAAACTGAAACACAGGAGGGTCTGTCTATTATGATACCATTAGAGCCATACCTGCAGTCTTGTGAGGAGCTACAACATGAGCCATCCATGCACAGTATAAGTAACTTTGATATAATTTGCTTCAGTTTCCATACTAATGTTGTTGTTAGTGCTGCCTGGTAATGGTGCTGGGTAAACAAGGGAATTTTTTCTCTCTCTAGATGTTTTTCTTCTAGTTCATTTGGAGCATGAAACCTGTGTTTCCAGCCAGGCTTGCCAAGTTGTGTATTTCATAATAGGCATGGCAAAGGGATTCTGTTTCTGTTCTACAGGCAAAATATGTGTTATATACAAACAAAATGTAAACAATGCTAATGAGAGCTGTACTCATTGAGGCAGGCAGTTCCAATGATTTCCACTGTAAAACAGATAAGGTGGTTGTTTCTGTGGCACTGTTCTATGAATAATTTCTGTGAAACTGAGATACTGTGTACACGTGTAATTATTGACTTCTTGCTTATGACTTGGATGTCCCAAGCAGGCTTTCCTTCTCATGTATGAGACTCTGAAATGGATTTATGATAACTATGAGCTTTCACCAACAGAGATACTCCAGGCAGAGTTTTGAAGGACACCTTGACTCTGATGTTGTAAGCAGTCCCTAGCTTTAAAGGTAGGGCAGGAGGTATGGGGGACAGAGGTGCTAAAAGTTCGTATTAAGAAAGAAAAGACAGGGTCAGGCAGCAGTAGAAACTATGAGGCACAGGAGGGGTGTCAACACTAAAAGAGTTGGAGGAGAAACTCCATTGAATTTTCACCAGATACTGCTTCTGACATGATTTTACTGTGGAGGGGTGTTTTCTACATGTGCATGTGGGTACAACTTGTGTTCTGGCTCTGTGCACAGTGTACTCTTAGCCAGGCATGTTTCCAAATCTGACAATGAAGAAACTAAATTGTTCCAGTCAGTGTTTCCATCACATTGTATGATGGTGCAAAAATCAAGATGTGCTTTCCACAAACTTAAATATAGATATACACAATATATATGGGCTATACATGTACATATATAAAAATATATCCATGCTGCAACTTCACCAAAGTCCTTATCGATTGCTCACAGTGACATAGTTACAGAAAATCATTTGCTAATTCAAAAATGGCATTTTTTTTGCTTTCTTTCTTTTCTTTACTAAACGATTGATTTATAAAGCTTGAGAAAATTTAGCAGGTTGATTATTTGGTCTAAAATTTCCAAGCTTCTGGGAGAAAATCATCATTTCATCTTTACATGTACACAGAGAAATTCAGATGCCCTGTTTCATGGAAGGAATCTGTGTTTCCTTTTTTCAGTTGCAGAGGTATTACTTTTGCTTCCTCATATCACCTTCCAGTTTCAGGGAAAAACATTATACAAAGGGAGAGGTAGTTTTAAAATCCTTGACTGTGCTAAAGGGTTTGGAAATTCAGTAACAAGATTACTAGATGATCTCCAGAACAGCAAACCGTTGTTGAGCAATCTGAAATACTCTAGTCATTAAATTGTGACCGAGCAACAGACTCCCTGAGAAGAGACTGACAATTTGCAGTGCTACTGTAGAACAGGCACCCAATGTGGTGGGGTTTGTCTGCAATGAGGTGTTTTTTTTTTTTTCCGGTCTCACCCATAACTGCAGGCTCCTGACAGTCCCCATGAAAGTCACGACAGAAGTCTTTCTGGAGAAATACTGTTCAGATGCTCCGCTGTCCAATCTATGTTGAATCTTTTGCCACTTATCACTAATCCAGTGAGCTGGAATGTAGACATTGGAGAGAGGCTCACTGGATTAAAAAAGTACTGAGACACAATGGCCAAATTCTCTCTGGCTGCTGAAGTTGATGCTACTTCAGTGATATCTGGGTTTTTTTGCTGAGGGACTTTGGGATTGCAGCAAAATATAAGTTTATGCTAGAAAATGTCACTGATCTTATATTTCCAGACAGTATTTTAGTGAAACTATTAAAAAAAAATATTAAAGTATATTCCACAAGGGAACATAACATGAAACAATCTTTCCATTTAGGGTGTAAATAGGATAGTGGAAAAAGTATTTCTCCTTTTGTATTTTATTAGGCAAATATGAGAAATTCAGACCCCAGTGTACTGGCTAAAGCAAAAAAAATAGATGCACATCCTGTTATGAAATGTATTTAATCTTTTCCTCTACCTAAAGCTGTTGGGCACAATCCATAGTAGAGTCGGCTCTACTATGTGACTTTCATGTTGGAGTAGAGTAAACTCATTAGATGTGCAGGTAGCAGGAGGGTTACAAGCACACTGAATGAGAGGATTAGAAAATGATCCTGACAGTTTGGGGGAACGCTTTTAAAGAAATGGGATGCAACTGAGTGTAGTGATCAGCATAGGATGGTGAGTGACAAATCAAACACAGTTCTGCAGGAAAAAAATGTTTGCAAAGAATAGTGGATGACAAAGTGAATGTGAGTTAGCAATATCCTGCTATTTGGGGGTAGAGGAAAGGCAAACATCATAGTGGCTGTGGAAACAGGAATGCAGTTGACAAGACAATAGGTAATGCTTCATGATGGGAAGGGCGAGGTAGTCTTCAGGAACATAAAAAGTAAGTATAAGGTTGAGCAGGAGATTTAGCCTCTCTGAGAAGATTAACTTTGACAGTATGATACAGTTTGAAATGGTAATGAAATAGATCATCGTTGGAAGCCTTTGAGCACCAGTCATCTCTCGGGAATGATCAGAGAGTTGATCCTGCAATGGGAAAAAAGCTAATCTACATGGTCTCTCAAGAACAATCTGAGCTCTCTTTTCAGATGAGTTAATTACTTTAATAGTCTTGTTTTATTATTTTATGCACAGCAGATTGTGGTTTTAAAAAACTTATAGGATATTAAAAAAACCACACATTTGATCAGCATCGTAAGAGATTTATAAACTTACCATTTCATTGATATGAATGATATTGCTAGAAGTGCACATCACCATTGATTTCTCTAAAGTGGTGGTGTAAATGACAATCTTATGAGGTATTGGATTTTTATGGGAACTAGGTTGTATCTAAAATATTGATATCCCCTGTGGGAGTATTTGGTGTGGCTATCATAACACTTGTATAAGTCAGACCTCAGAGTCTTCAACTTAAAATAAACGCCAAAGGATTATTCAGATAATATACTACATTCACATAGTGCTAGTTTACATGGTTCTAGAAGCAAAGATTGACATTTGTGTTTGTGTTACTTCTACAATAAGAAAGACCCAGAAAGGCGACACGTGATGAGAAATGGTGTGTGATTGTCATCTTTCAAGTATAAGAAAATAGTACACTCACAAATACTCAAACAGAAAAGGAAAATCTTTTGAGTGATGGTCTGTTCAGAGCTGGGTGCTCTCTACATTCACCTCTAACAGTATGTAAGCATCACTAGAGAACAATGTTTAATATTTTGGTGCTTCATGTGTCTGTTATGGAGCAAACCCATTTGTTTCCTTTTGATTTTTGCAATCTCGTGTATGGGCTCATTGACTGTATAAACTGTCAGGTAGAGCAGAGTAGTAAATATTTTTCTGGCTTAAAATATATCTTGCATAAATCTACTGGTGTTTCATTGATGGTAGTTTTAGAACTCTGAGTCTGAATTTCAAAGAAACTGAGCAGTAGAATTGATTAAAATAGAATTATAGCTGAAGCAGGTAAACTAAGTAATGGAAACCACTCCAAAGAGCAATGTGTCCTTCCCATCGGTACTCTGGAAAGAAATGCCACACATGGAAATATTGAATGCACATGGTTGTTATGTGTAATTTGGCAACCACCTAGAATCACTAGACATCATATACTCAACTTGAAGCTGCTGCCAAGGAGAGACTGATAAAAGGAACAGAAAGATGATGGATGAAGAGGTTGAAAATGGAGATGATCATCGTTAAATGCCAGTAAAGAGAATCAGTTCTTCCTAGTCACACATGTGAACTTGACCCCAGCATGTCAGAAATGCCATATATTGATTGTAGCTTTGAAATGTTGCGTGCTCTTAGAAAAAGCAATAAGAGTTCTTTTCAACTTAAAAATCTTTGCTCAGGTGTTGTATCTTTCCTCTCTTTAGACCTGTGTTCTCTCCCTATCTCTCTGATTCATGCTTTCCTTTTTCTTCACCCTTAACTGCTTAGCCTAGCACTGAAAGCCAGTTCATTCTTCTGCCAGCCCCCCTCCCATTCCTGGGCCTGCTGTGCAAGAATTTGTGTTGTCTGTAATGAAAGTAGGTTTCCACATGTGTAATTCAGCCTTGAGGACCTTCATGATCCCACCAGCTGTAGCCTAGAAGGAAGTGATAGACTAGAAAAGGCCTGTCCACTAGAAAGGAATCCTCCTTCTGTGTGGCTGAAAGGACGTTTTTGTATACCTAAGGAATGGGATAATGTCCCAGAAGACTACTGATAATGACATAAACCCCTTCTTGGATCAGGAACCATTTAGAATGTTGTAGTGAGCAGAACTCAACTCTCTAGCTGTTGAACAAAATTATACATATATTAATATTTTTAAAAAATCAAACCACATACGTTGACATTAGGATGCAAAAAAGATTAGTCCTTATCAGAAAAAAAAAAGCAGCAATCGTGAATCAGGAAGGCATTACTCTGTAGACTCATGCTTAGGATGCTCCGCTCTACAGCTGATTCACATCTCCTTCATGCCTGTTCTCCTGTCAGTTCAATCACTAGATTTAGTGAAGCAAAGATGTGGTTCTTCTCCAGGATTAGTTGCTTTCATGTGCTTTATAATCTTCACTTTAAAAGTAGGCTGATATTTAATTGCTTAGCTGAAAACAAAAATATTCTTTAAGCTGTTCACTTTACCTTTGAGCCTTATTTTAGTTTGTTTTGATTATCATTCAGTTTTCTCCATTAGGCAAGAGTTGGAGAGCTCAGAGTTAATGCGCTGATCCCTGCGCTCGGCCTCCCGTGGCTGTGTCCTTCAAAAGAGCAGGACGCTGCGAATGCTGCAAAGTGGAAAGGAGGGGAGGAGTTACAGGTGCTGCGGTTCAGGAGCGGGCAGCGGGGCCGGCAGGTGTGCCTGAGGACCGGCTGCTGCCTTCTTTCTCTTCCAGCCTCTTCCAAACCAGCTGCGTGAGGCGGGCAGCAACAGGGCAGCCTTCAAGCCCCTGCTGAAGGGAACCCCTCAGGAGCTAAGGCACCTTGACCCTCCCCAAAGCTCTCGTGCTGCCCCTCTAAGATACGTTCTTGCTTCCTTTGGCTTTTACGCTATTGTCGCCAAGGATGCCCCTTCCTCCTTGTTCTGTGTCGCCTGTCCTGTGCTTTCAAACAGTGCCATGAGATGTGGTGCCTGAGGGCCTGTGCTGGCTCCAGGGCCGTGCCGGGGCCGTGGGATCTCTGCTGAGCTGAACCGTGCGCAGGAGGGTGCCCTGTGCTGAGCGTGGGCTCTTTGCTCCAGGTGATGGCAGATCCTCCCGACACACAGCTCTTGTCCCTGCCTCCTCAAAAGGCTCAGGTGCTTTTTGGGAATGCAGTATTGCATGCTCTGCCTGCCAGAGTGTTTGGGCTGTTTGAAATTTAGGCGGAGGTGGCATCTGCTGTGCCTCGCTCCTGCTAGTCAGGGTCTCACCTTTTTCCTTGACGTAACAACTCAAATCCCTCGTTCACTTCAGCGATCGGCAGCGTGTGCGTGATCAGCAAGTCTGAGTTGAACTTTTTCTCCAAATAGCTGGAAACTAATTTGGGGATAGATTCTCTCGTCTTCCAACCTAGAAATGGGACAAAGTATTCACAGTATATAATCGGAGATACGCTGTTTTGGGAAGGTAGTATTGGTGTAAGGATCAAGACTGAGTGAACAGTACCAGTGCCTTTATCTTGTGAGAACTTTTCCTCTCCTTCGTACAAGATTGGATTAACATGTAGAGTTGCGTTGAAACAGTAACTGGTTTATCCTCATGTATCATGCCTATATGTACAGTACAAAGGTCGCTCTCACTTTTACTTATATTTTTCTTGAATACACTCCTAAGGATTATTCTTAGGACAGAGCCAAACTTGAAGTATTCCTTGTGACCAATAGGGAAGTGACTAATGACTACAATGAAAAAAGTCTGTTCTCCTACAGCTGAGGACATTGCTCAGATGAAAAGGCTAGTTTTCAATGTCAGAGTCATTCGCAAGGTCTTAACCGTACCTGTTCCACAGACATTTGGAAATTAATGTGAAAGGAAAAGGTTGAAATGTCTAAAATGTTTTCCTAAGTTTCATACCTCCAAGCAGGGTCCCCTTCCACGTACGCCCAGACAGCAGAAGCATAGGATCAACGGACATCACTGCACCAGAAGCCAGTTCCCCAATCATCACGCAGACACCTGTGTTCATATTGCAGGCAGCCAGGGCAGCAGTCTGATGGGACAGGCAGGCAAATTAGAGAGCGCCCTGGAGAGTTTGTCAGAAGACAGTTCTTTCTGTGGGGTCGTCTGCCCCTCCCTGGTAGTCAGAAAACACATACTCCCTTGTGCAGCAGGCACGGTGAGCTCCGTGCCTGTTTTGAAACTTGTACGCCATAGTTTCCCAAAGCCAACAGAGAGCCTTTCTGATCAAGGATGAGCCCAGCAGTGCAGGCAGCAGGCAAGGAACTTCCCACCGGGGTGAATTTTGCCTGGCTGGGGGGCTGTGAATGATCTGAGAGGGAAGACACGTGCTGAAATGCCACCTACCATGCTATCCACATCCCCGATGGCCTCAAAGGAGTAGTCCACGCCATGACCGGTCATCTCGGTGACCACCTCCTGGATGGGCTTCTTGAAGTCTCGAGGACTGATGCAGTCGGTGGCTCCCAGCTCCTTGGCCTTGGCAAACTTGTCCTTGTTGATATCAATGGCGATGATGCGGGAAGCTCCAGCCGCCTTGCAGCCCATGACAACAGAGAGGCCAATTCCTCCGAGGCCGAAGACAGCACAGGTGGAGCCTGGTTTGACCTGCACAACATGGGGCCCAGTGAGTCTCCAGTGTGAGGAGGAGGATTTGTTGCACGGGGTTGGTGAGGGTGCGAGTATGGACACGGGGTGCTTGTGCTCAACATGTCTGAATACCAACCTTGGCGGTGTTGATGGGAGCCCCGTAGCCTGTGGAAAACCCACAGCCAAACAAGCAGACTTTGTCCAGAGGTGCAGCAGCATCTATCTTGGCAGCAGCGTACTCCGGGATCACAGTGTATTCTGCAAAGGTGCTGACCCACAGGAAGTGGTGGATCCGTTTCCCTTTGCAAGTGAACCGGCTGGTCTTATCAGGCAGCAGGTTTTGTGACTCGGAGAAGCTGTTGGGAGGCACAAGCATTTGTTTTTCATCAAGTAAAGGACCCGTGCAGGTGTCAGACATGTTGATAGACAGCTGACCTCAGTTAGGTGTAGGGGAAGGCGAAGTAAACTCACTGGGACTTCAGGCAGTAGTTGGATTCAGGATTCAAGCAGAAGCTGCATTCCCCACATTGTGGATGGCAAAGTGGGATGACTTTGTCACCTGGAATAACACACACCCCATGTTAGGTGATCCTCTCTGTGGTCAGGCCCCAAAGGAGCTGCCTATGGGAGAGCTGAATCCTGGGTGTGTCTCTGTCTGTGTGTCTGTAACCTGGTTTCACAGAGGTCACTCCTTCTCCAACACTTTCCACTATCCCAGCTCCTTCGTGGCCTGGGATAACTGGGAAATCCGCGTTAGGAAAGCAGCCTTCCAAAAGGTGATCGTCTGTACGACAGATGCCTGTGGCCACAATCTGTTTGAAGGGCAGAGAGTAGATGGTGAGATTTGGAAATACTCTGGTCTCTCTTCAACTCCATTTGTGGAAGGATGTTTCCTGGGGCTTCTCTGGACAGTTAAGGCCTATTGGCGGGCATAGATCCCTGACAGGTGTATTCAAGGTATAACCATAAGAGGAGCAATTCCCACAAGGCAGCAAAAACCCAGTTGTGCGCGTGATTTTACCTTGATACGGACTTCACCCGCCTTTGGAGGTGCAACCTCCACCTCCTCGAGAGAGAGTGGTTTGCCCACTGCCCAGGCAACAGCAGCTCTGCACCTGATAACCTGGAAGCAACAGAGGGGGTTAGGCAGCATGGGAATGTTTGCCTTTGGCGCGCGGTCAGGGACATCTCCCAGACCTCGAGCCCATCGACCCAAAGCTGGTTGGAGGTTCAGCAAAATTCAGCTCGCAGGTGGAAAAGGGTTTTGCCAGGGGCAAGGTTGAAAGGAGGCGGCGAGTGGCAGCAAGATTGCAGCTCCCAAGAGCCGTGTTTCCGTGCCAGAGCGGGAGCGCGGAGCGGGGCTGAGCAGGAGGGTGTTTTTCAGAGCCGTACGATTCGGTGTTTTCCTTCCTGCGCTGCTGGGCAGAGCGGGAGAGGAATGTAGTGCCTAATGCAGGTACTGACAGGCACAGTTGTATGAAAGCAGGAGCTCATGTACTTCAGAGGGGCTTGGGTGAGTCGGGGGAGCAGGGTCAGAGGAAAGAGGGCGTGCAGTGGAGGAGCGCAGGCTGAGCCACTCGCAGGGTATTTCCCCAGAGCAGGAGGGCACCGCGGAAAGGAAGACGGGAGACGCGTTGTCCTTACTTTTCCAGAAGTGGCCATGGGGTCACTGCAGCAGGCTGAAGGGTGAGCGAGGGAGCGTGGAGGGAGTCCTGGCGTGGGGCTGTCACTGGAGAGCGGGGAGCCGTGGTTAATCTGTGCCCGGAGCACGGCGAGTGCTGAGCAGGGGAGCTGGCTAGCGGCAGGGAGATGCCAAGTGGCGACAGTGACGCTCCACGGGGAGTGGGCAGAAGTCTTCCGTGGAGGCTTTTATGGATGGCTGTGGCCTCGGGCTGTGCCCTGCCCTCCCTGGCTGAAAGGCACAGGGGGCTGGGCGAGAGCTTTCTCCTGCAGCTGCTTCCGGCGGGTGTGGCGGCGCGGCGCTGATCAGGCATCTTCAGTGTCCCCTTGTTGTCAGGGGGCAGCCTTTGACCCGGCAGCGGTTCACCCCCAGGCATTTGTGAAAGGAATAAAGTTAACAAAAAAAACCCAACAATAACAACAACAGAAAAAAAACCAAACAAACAACAACAACAAAAAAAAAAAAAAAAAAAAAAAAACAAACAAACAAAAAACCACCAAACAAACCCAAACCAAAACAACACAGTGAAATCATGTTACAGAGGACAAATACTCCCACCCGTGCTGCAGCCTTTTTGCCCTGGGTAGCAAGGGGAGAATGTGTCAGGAAGGGGGGCTTTTCCAAGGACACGTTTGTTTCACTCGTGTGTAACCAGGTTTTAGGGGGGTTCACTCCCCCAGGCGAGATGTTCTCTGCTAAGGCACTGGGCAAGGTGGTCTGTAGGAGGTTGGAGGAGCGGGAGCTTGTTGGAGGAGCAGGCTAAGATGAGCACCGCGTGTGTGACGTTACCCCCCCCGGTTTCGCGTCCAGGGGACTGCCCGGGAGGTTTGTGTTGGTGCTCGCTGCCGCGTGTCCCAGCCCTGTTTCGCGGGGCGAGGGGGCCGGTCAGCGGCAGCAGCAGCAGCACTTGCTGTCGGCACGCCAAACCCCGGCTCTCAAATGCCCTCGGCCCATCTGTAGCTTCACCGATGCGGGCCGGGTCCGCGACCGTGCCCCAGCAGCTGGCTGAGTGGTTGCCCAGGGCACGGTGGCCCTGTGGTGCGACAGGGGCTCCAGGCGCGAGGAGCCGCTGCTGGGCAGCCTGTCCCCCAGCCTTGCTGGTCAGGCCCAACCTCTGCGTGATGAAGGCCGGGTGGTGGACGGAGGTGGGAAGCGGCCGCAGTGGAGGGGGCAAAGGCAGTTGCTCGCTGCTGAGCCAAGGGCCCACGGTTTGAGGAAGAGCTCCCCCTCCCCACGGGACCTCTGTTGATTGAGAGCACTGCATGGAACAAATTTGAGGGAAACCCTTTATTGGTAAAAGCAACTTTTGGGAAGAGATGTTCTTTTGGGTCTCGGCCGGGTGCAGGACCACTGGCAGCAGCACCGGCGTCGGCGAGTTCCTTGTTCTCATCTCCCTGTGCCTCCCAGAGTGAGGTGCTGGGCGAGAAGGGCCCCTGCCAGGAGAGTGTCTGCTGCGCTGGTCCCTGCGCTCGGCCTCCCGTGGCTGTGTCCTTCAAAAGAGCAGGACGCTGCGAATGCTGCAAAGTGGAAAGGAGGGGAGGAGTTACAGGTGCTGCGGTTCAGAAGCGGGCAGCGGGGCAGGCAGGTGTGCCTGAGGACCGGCTGCTGCCTTCTTTCTCTTCCAGCCTCTTCCAAACCAGCTGCGTGAGGCGGGCAGCAACAGGGCAGCCTTCAAGCCCCTGCTGAAGGGAACCCCTCAGGAGCTAAGGCACCTTGACCCTCCCCAAAGCTCTCGTGCTGCCGCTCTAAGATACGTTCTTGCTTCCTTTGGCTTTTACGCTATTGTCGCCAAGGATGCCCCTTCCTCCTTGTTCTGTGTCGCCTGTCCTGTGCTTTCAAACAGTGCCATGAGATGTGGTGCCTGAGGGCCTGTGCTGGCTCCAGGGCCGTGCCGGGGCCGTGGGATCTCTGCTGAGCTGAACCGTGCGCAGCAGGGTGCCCTGTGCTGAGCGTGGGCTCTTTGCTCCAGGTGATGGCAGATCCTCCCGACACACAGCTCTTGTCCCTGCCTCCTCAAAAGGCTCAGGTGCTTTTTGAGAAGGCAGTATTGCATGCTCTGCCTGCCAGAGTGTTTGGGCTGTTTGAAATTTAGGCGGAGGTGGCATCTGCTGTGCCTCGCTCCTGCTAGTCAGGGTCTCACCTTTTTCCTTGACGTAACAACTCCAATCCCTCATTCACTTCAGCGATCGGCAGCGTGTGCGTGATCAGCAAGTCTGAGTTGAATTTCTTCTCCAAATAGCTGGAAACTAATTTGGGGATAGATTCTCTCATCTTCCAACCTAGAAACAGGAGAAAGGACCGGCAGTGAGCAATTGGAGAAATGTTGTTTTGGTGAGGTAATGTTTGTAGAGTTTTCTGGTGCCTGCGGTATACCAGCTGTCCTCTGATCAGAATATTAGAGCCAGTCAGGGGCTTGTCTCCTCTTCCAGGCTGTGCTGACATATAAAACATACTTGACGTTGTGCCCGTGTAAAGCGCTGTAGCTAATTCTTGGAATGCATCACGTTACCAGGATTAGGCTAACAACGGGAGAAGGTCCCTTCTTTGAGCTGCGAGTTTAGCTGGAGGAAGTGAAAGGTTCCTTGAGGTGCACCAGCCCCTCCTCTGGCAAAAGAGAGAAGCACTTAGGTTGCAGTGAAATGCAAGCTGATACCAACGGCTGGGGCTTGAGGGGAGCATGTATGAGAGTGGCCACCCGTGACAGGCCAGGTAGCAGGTATGTGTGTGATGGAGGGGCAAGGATGAGAGAAAGCAAGGTACTGGGAGAGGGAAGAAGAGTCTTGTAGTGGAAGGAGAGAGCAGGCTACAACAGGAAGGAGTCAGTGGGGCAACAAAGAATTTCTTTCATGGGACATTTATGATCTTCCTACACATACCGTAGGGTCAGGACTGAGTGACCAGTACTGGTGCCATTATCTTGTGAGAAATCTTCCTCTCCTTGAGAGGAGAGTGGGTTTGTCCTTGTTTTACTCTTTGGTTAGCGTAGACAGTTGCGTGTTGAACTGTATGAAGTAGTTACAGGTTTATTAGCATGTTTCATGCCTACCTATCCAGTGAAAGTGCCACACTCCTCTTTAGTTGTGTTGCTTGTTTGTTTGTTTGTCTGTTTGTTTTTTCTGAATGCCCTCTCAAAGAGGCTTCCTGGGACACTGCCAAGCTTGAAATATTCTTGGTGACCAAGAGGTTAGTGAGTAAGAACTAGGAGGAAAAGTATATCTTGTCCTACATCTGAGGACATTGCTCAGATGGGAAAGCTCATTTTCCAGGGGAGAATTCTTCATTGTACTGACGGGTTCCACACACACGTTGGTGACAACCGACATGGAGCAGGCTGAGCTACTGAACAGTTTGTTTGCCTCGGTTGTCAATGGTAATCTCTTTTCCCACATCTCTCAAGTGGGAAGGGGATGTGGAAACGAAGCCCCTCTGATCAGAAGTGAAGATCAGGTTCAAGACCACCACCGCAGGAACACGAACAAACTGAGACCTGACGAGGTGCATCCCACAGTCCTGAGGGAACTGGCTGTTGTGGTTGCCGTGTGGCTCTCCATCACAGTTGAAAAGTTGTGGCAGTCAGGCAAAGCCCCCAGTGACTGGAGAAAGGGAAACAACACATCCATTTTTAAAAAGGGTGAAAGAAGGACCCTGGCAGCTACTGACCAGTCAGCCTCACCTCCGTGCCTGGTAAGATGGTGGAATGGATCCTCCTGGAAGAGTTGTCGAAACGTATGGAAAACAGGGGGGTGACATGGCTCACCAAGGGCAAATCATGCCTGACTAACCTGGCGGCCGTTAACGATTCAGTGAGTGCGTCAGCGGAGGAGGGAAGAGCTATAGATGTCATCTACCTGGACTTCTGTAAGGCTTTGATACAGTCCCCCACAGCATTCTTGCTGCTCATTTGGAGAGCTATGACGGGTGGACTGTTAGATGGATAAGGAATTGGCAGGATGTCCTCGTCCAAAGAGTCAATGGCTCGGTGTCCAAGAGGAAACCAGTCATGAGTGGTGTTCCTCAGGGTTCTGTACTGGGATGAATACTGTTTAATATCTTCATCGGTGACACAGGCAGTGGGACTGAGTGCACCCTCAGCAAGTTTGCAGATGACACCGAGCTGAGTGGTGCAGTTGAGGGAAGGGAGGCCATCCAGAGGGACCTTGGCAGGCTTGAGGAGTGGGCCCATGGGAACTTCAGGACGTTCAGCAAAGTCACGCTCAAGGTCCTGCACCTGGCGTGGGGCAATGCCCGATATCAATACAGACTGAGGGATGAATGGATTAAGGGCACCCCTGCAGAGGAGGACTTGGAGATACCGGTGGGTGAAGAATCTGATGTGAGCCAGCTATGTGCACTTGCAGCCCGGAAAGCCAACCGCGTCCTGGGCTGCACAAAAAGAAGCACGGCCAGCAGGTCAAAGGAGCTGCTTCTTCCCTTCTACCCCACTTACGGGAGACCCCAGCTGCAGCGCTGTGCCCGGCTCTGGGCCCCCCAGCACAAGAAAGACGTGGGCCTCTTCGAGCGGGTCCAGAGGAGGGCCACCAAAATGGACAAAGGCCTGAGGCCTCTCCAGTGAAGAAAGGCTGCAACAGCGGGGATTGTTCAGCCTGGAGAAGAGAAGGCTCTGAGGTGACCTTACTGAGGCCTTTCAGTGCTTAAAGGGGGCTTCTAAGGAACCTGGAGAGAGACTTTTAACAAAGGTCTCTAATGACAGCACAAGGGGAAATGGCTTTAACCTGAAAGAGGGTCGATTTGGGTTGGGCACAGGGAGGAAATCTTTTATGATGAGGGTGGTAAGACACTGGAGCGAGTTGCCCAGAGAAGTTGTGGACGTGCCGTCATTGGAAGTGTTCAAGGCCAGGTTGGGTGGGGCTTTGAGCAACTTCTAGTGCAAGATGTCCCTGTGCACAGCAGAAGGGTTTGACTAGATGATCTTCAAAGGTCCCTTCCAGCCCAAACCACTCTGTGATTCTATGATTTGGAAAGATGAAAGGAATAGACAGAAATGTCTAAAATGTTTTCTAAACTTTCATACCTCCGAGCAGGGTCCCCTTCCACGTACGCCCAGACAGCAGAAGCATAGGATCAACGGACATCACTGCACCAGAAGCTGCTACCCCAATCATCACGCAGACACCCGTGTTCATATTGCAGGCAGCCAGGGCAGCAGTCTGATGGGACAGGCAGGCAAATTAGAGAGCGCCCTGGAGAGTTTGTCAGAAGACAGTTCTTTCTGTGGGGTCGTCTGCCCCTCCCTGGTAGTCAGAAAACACATACTCCCTTGTGCAGCAGGCACGGTGAGCTCCGTGCCTGTTTTGAAACTTGTACGCCATAGTTTCCCAAAGCCAACAGAGAGCCTTTCTGATCAAGGATGAGCCCAGCAGTGCAGGCAGCAGGCAAGGAACTTCCCACCGGGGTGAATTTTTCCTGGCTGGGGGGCTGTGAATGATCTGAGAGGGAAGACACGTGCTGAAATGCCACCTACCATGCTATCCACATCCCCGATGGCCTCAAAGGAGTAGTCCACGCCATGACCGGTCATCTCGGTGACCACCTCCTGGATGGGCTTCTTGAAGTCTCGAGGACTGATGCAGTCGGTGGCTCCCAGCTCCTTGGCCTTGGCAAACTTGTCCTTGTTGATATCAATGGCGATGATGCGGGAAGCTCCAGCCGCCTTGCAGCCCATGACAACAGAGAGGCCAACTGCTCCGACGCCGAAGACAGCACAGGTGGAGCCTGGTTTGACCTGCACAACATGGGGCCCTGTGAGTCTCCAGCGTGAGGAGGAGGATTTGTTGCACGGGGTTGGTGAGGGTGCGAGTATGGACACGGGGTGCTTGTGCTCAACATGTCTGAATACCAACCTTGGCAGTGTTGATGGGAGCCCCGTAGCCTGTGGAAAACCCACAGCCAAACAAGCAGACTTTGTCCAGAGGTGCAGCAGCATCTATCTTGACAGCGGCGTACTCCGGGATCACAGTGTATTCTGCAAAGGTGCTGATCCACAGGAAGTGGTGGATCTGTTTCCCTTTGCAAGTGAACCGGCTGGTCTTGTCAGGCAGCAAGTTTTGTGACTCGGAGACACTGTTGGGAGGCACAAGCATTTGTTTTTCATCAAGTAAAGGACCCGTGCAGGTGTCAGACTTGTCGATAGACAGCTGATCCCAGTTAGGTGTAGGAGAAGGCGAAGTAAACTCACTGGTACTTCAGGCAGTAGTTGGATTCAGGATTCAGGCAGAAGCTGCATTCTCCGCAGTGAGGCAAGGGAAGGGGGATGACTTTGTCACCTGCAATAATGCACATCCCATGTTAGCTGTGTCTCTCTTGGGGCATGTCCTGATGGTGGTGGCCGTTGGAGCGCCACTGCTGAGCTGTCTGATGGCAGCACCCTGCCATGAACCCTCTGCTTTCTCTGTTGAGAGGAAATGCTCATGGCCCAGCTCGTCTGCCTGGGGAATAGACCAGGAATGTGTATCTGACAGTCCAGTGCCACGAGTGTGCCCTTGGGATGCAGGAGCAGGGGGGATTTTCTGGGCTCTGGGCAGCCTCATCTGCCTCGAGAGCGGACTCCTGGGCGACTGTTTGTGTTTGTGTCTGTCCTGGTTTTGGCTGGGAGAGAGTTAATTTTCTTCCTAGTAGCTGGTGCAGTGCTGTGGTTTAGTTTTAGGATGAGAATGATGTTGATAACACACTGATGTTTCAGCTGAGGCTAAGCAGTGTTTATACTAAGTCAAGGACTTACCAGTTGCTCATGCCCTGGCAGCAAGAAAGCTGGGGGGGGCAAAAGAAGCTGGGGGGGGACACAGCCAGGACGGCTGACCCCAACTGGCAAAAGGATATTCCAGGCCATATGACCTCATGCTCAGTGTGTAAACTGGGGGGAAACCTGGCCAGGGGCTGCTGCTTGGGACCTGGCTGTGCATTGGTCGGCAGGTGGTGAGCTATTGCATTGCGCATCATTTGGTTTTTTATAATATAATTGTAAAATTATCGCTCATAATGTTGTTTTGTTGTTGTTGTTGTTGTTGTTATTATTTTTCTTATTGTTATTATTATTATTATATAGTGTCTTACCTGGTTTCATAGAGGTCACTCCTTCTCCAACACTTTCCACTATCCCAGCTCCTTCGTGGCCTGGGATAACTGGGAAATCCGCGTTAGGAAAGCAGCCTTCCAAAAGGTGATCGTCTGTACGACAGATGGCCGTGGCCACAATCTGTTTGAAGGGCAGAGAGTAGATGGTGAGATTTAGAAATGCTCTGGTCTCTCTTCAACTCCATTTGTGGAAGGATGTTTCCCGGGGCTTCTCTGGACAGTTAAGGCCTATTGGCGGGCATAGATCCCTGACAGGTGTATTCAAGGTATAACCATAAGAGGAGCAATTCCCACAAGGCAGCAAAAACCCAGTTGTGCGCGTGATTTTACCTTGATACGGACTTCACCCGCCTTTGGAGGTGCAACCTCCACCTCCTCGAGAGAGAGTGGTTTGCCCACGGCCCAGGCAACAGCAGCTCTGCACCTGATAACCTGGAAGCAACAGAGGGGGTTAGGCGGCATGGGAATGTTTGCCTTTGGCGCGCGGTCAGGGACATCTCCCAGACCTCGAGCCCATCGACCCAAAGCTGGTTGGAGGTTCAGCAAAATTCAGCTCGCAGGTGGAAAAGGGGTTTGCCAGGGGCAAGGTTGAAAGGAGGCGGCGAGTGGCAGCAAGATTGCAGCTCCCAAGAGCCGTGTTTCCGTGCCAGAGCGGGAGCGCGGAGCGGGGCTGAGCAGGAGGGTGTTTTTCAGAGCCGTACGATTCGGTGTTTTCCTTCCTGCGCTGCTGGGCAGAGCGGGAGAGGAATGTAGTGCCTAATGCAGGTACTGACAGGCACAGTTGTATGAAAGCAGGAGCTCGTGTACTTCAGAGGGGCTTGGGTGAGTCGGGGGAGCAGGGTCAGAGGAAAGAGGGCGTGCAGTGGAGGAGCGCAGGCTGAGCCACTCGCAGTGTATTTCCCCAGAGCAGGAGGGCACCGCGGAAAGGAAGACGGGAGACGCGTTGTCCTTACTTTTCCAGAAGTGGCCATGGGGTCACTGCAGCAGGCTGAAGGGTGAGCGAGGGAGCGTGGAGGGAGTCCTGGCGTGGGGCTGTCACTGGAGAGCGGGGAGCCGTGGTTAATCTGTGCCCGGAGCACGGTGAGTGCTGAGCAGAGGAGCTGGCTAGCGGCAGGGAGGTGCCAAGTGGCGACAGTGACGCTCCACGGGGAGTGGGCAGAAGTCTTCCGTGGAGGCTTTTATGGATGGCTGTGGCCTCGGTCTGTGCCCTGCCCTCCCTGGCTGAAAGGCACAGGGGGCTGGGCGAGAGCTTTCTCCTGCAGCTGCTTCCGGCGGGTGTGGCGGCGCGGCGCTGATCAGGCATCTTCAGTGTCCCCTTGTTGTCAGGGGGCAGCCTTTGACCCGGCAGCGGTTCACCCCCAGGCATTTGTGAAAGGAATAAAGTTAAAAAAACCTCAAACAAATAAAAAAAACAAAAAAAAACCCACCAAACAAACCCAAACCAAAACAACACAGTGAAATCATGTTACGGTGGACAAACACGCCCGCCCGTGCTGCAGCCTTTTTGCCCTGGGTAGCAAGGGGAGAATGTGTCAGGAAGGGGGGCTTTTCCAAGGACACGTTTGTTTCTCTCGTGTGTAACCAGGTTTTAGGGGGGTTCACTCCCCCAGGCGAGATGTTCTCTGCTAAGGCACTGGGCAAGGTGGTCTGTAGGAGGTTGGAGGAGCGGGAGCTTGTTGGAGGAGCAGGCTAAGATGAGCACCGCGTGTGTGACGTTACCCCCCCCGGTTTCGCATCCAGGGGACTGCCCGGGAGGTTTGTGTTGGTGCTCGCTGCCGCGTGTCCCAGCCCTGTTTCGCGGGGCGAGGGGGCCGGTCAGCGGCAGCAGCAGCAGCACTTGCTGTCGGCACGCCAAACCCCGGCTCTCAAATGCCCTGGGCCCATCTGTAGCTTCACCGATGCGGGCCGGGTCCGCGACCGTGCCCCAGCAGCTGGCTGAGTGGTTGCCCAGGGCACGGTGGCCCTGTGGTGCGACAGGGGCTCCAGGCGCGAGGAGCCGCTGCTGGGCAGCCTGTCCCCCAGCCTTGCTGGTCAGGCCCAACCTCTGCGTGATGAAGGCCGGGTGGTGGACGGAGGTGGGAAGCGGCCGCAGTGGAGGGGGCAAAGGCAGTTGCTCGCTGCTGAGCCAAGGGCCCACGGTTTGAGGAAGAGCTCCCCCTCCCCACGGGACCTCTGTTGATTGAGAGCACTGCATGGGACAAATTTGAGGGAAACCCTTTATTGGTAAAAGCAACTTTTGGGAAGAGATGTTCTTTTGGGTCTCGGCCGGGTGCAGGACCACTGGCAGCAGCACCGGCGTCGGCGAGTTCCTTGTTCTCATCTCCCTGTGCCTCCCAGAGTGAGGTGCTGGGTGAGAAGGGCCCCTGCCAGGAGAGTGTCTGCTGCGCTGGTCCCTGCGCTCGGCCTCCCGTGGCTGTGTCCTTCAAAAGAGCAGGACGCTGCGAATGCTGCAAAGTGGAAAGGAGGGGAGGAGTTACAGGTGCTGCGGTTCAGAAGCGGGCAGCGGGGCCGGCAGGTGTGCCTGAGGACCGGCTGCTGCCTTCTTTCTCTTCCAGCCTCTTCCAAACCAGCTGCGTGAGGCGGGCAGCAACAGGGCAGCCTTCAAGCCCCTGCTGAAGGGAACCCCTCAGGAGCTAAGGCACCTTGACCCTCCCCAAAGCTCTCGTGCTGCCGCTCTAAGATACGTTCTTGCTTCCTTTGGCTTTTACACTATTGTCGCCAAGGATGCCCCTTCCTCCTTGTTCTGTGTCGCCTGTCCTGTGCTTTCAAACAGTGCCATGAGATGTGGTGCCTGAGGGCCTGTGCTGGCTCCAGGGCCGTGCTGGGGCCGTGGGATCTCTGCTGAGCTGAACCGTGCGCAGCAGGGTGCCCTGTGCTGAGCGTGGGCTCTTTGCTCCAGGTGATGGCAGATCCTCCCGACACACAGCTCTTGTCCCTGCCTCCTCAAAAGGCTCAGGTGCTTTTTGAGAAGGCAGTATTGCATGCTCTGCCTGCCAGAGTGTTTGGGCTGTTTGAAATTTAGGCGGAGGTGGCATCTGCTGTGCCTCGCTCCTGCTAGTCAGGGTCTCACCTTTTTCCTTGACGTAACAACTCCAATCCCTCATTCACTTCAGCGATCGGCAGCGTGTGCGTGATCAGCAAGTCTGAGTTGAATTTCTTCTCCAAATAGCTGGAAACTAATTTGGGGATAGATTCTCTCATCTTCCAACCTAGAAAGAGGAGAAAGGACCGGCAGTGAGCAATCGGAGAAATGTTTTGGTGAGGTAATGTTTGTAGAGTTTTCTGGTGCCTGCGGTATACCAGCTGTCCTCTGATCAGAATATTAGAGCCAGTCAGGGGCTTGTCTCCTCTTCCAGGCTGTGCTGACTTATAAAACATACTTGACGTTGTGCCCGTGTAAAGCGCTGTAGCTAATTCTTGGAATGCATCACATTACCAGGATTAGGCTAACAACGGGAGAAGGTCCCTTCTTTGAGCTGCGAGTTTAGCTGGAGGAAGTGAAAGGATCCTTGAGGTGCACCAGCCCCTCCTCTGGCAAAAGAGAGAAGCACTTAGGTTGCAGTGAAATGCAAGCTGATACCAACGGCTGGGGCTTGAGGGGAGCATGTATGAGAGTGGCCACCCGTGACAGGCCAGGTAGCAGGTATGTGTGTGATGGAGAAAGCAAGGTACTGGGAGAGGGAAGAAGAGTCTTGTAGTGGAAGGAGAGAGCAGGCTACAACAGGAAGGAGTCAGTGGGGCAACAAAGAATTTCTTTCATGGGACATTTATGATCTTCCTACACATACCGTAGGGTCAGGACTGAGTGACCAGTACTGGTGCCATTATCTTGTGAGAAATCTTCCTCTCCTTGAGAGGAGAGTGGGTTTGTCCTTGTTTTACTCTTTGGTTAGCGTAGACAGTTGCGTGTTGAACTGTATGAAGTAGTTACAGGTTTATTAGCATGTTTCATGCCTACCTATCCAGTGAAAGTGCCACACTCCTCTTTAGTTGTGTTGCTTGTTTGTTTGTTTGTCTGTTTGTTTTTTCTGAAAGCCCTCTCAAAGAGGCTTCCTGGGACATTGCCAAGCTTGAAATATTCTTGGTGACCAAGAGGTTAGTGAGTAAGAACTAGGAGGAAAAGTATATCTTGTCCTACATCTGAGGACATTGCTCAGATGGGAAAGCTCATTTTCCAGGGGAGAATTCTTCATTGTACTGACGGGTTCCACACACACGTTGGTGACAACCGACATGGAGCAGGCTGAGCTACTGAACAGTTTGTTTGCCTCGGTTGTCAATGGTAATCTCTTTTCCCACATCTCTCAAGTGGGAAGGGGATGTGGAAACGAAGCCCCTCTGATCAGAAGTGAAGATCAGGTTCAAGACCACCACCACAGGAACACGAACAAACTGAGACCTGATGAGGTGCATCCCACAGTCCTGAGGGAACTGGCTGTTGTGGTTGCCGTGTGGCTCTCCATCACAGTTGAAAAGTTGTGGCAGTCAGGCAAAGTCCCCAGTGACTGGAGAAAGGGAAACAACACATCCATTTTTAAAAAGGGTGAAAGAAGGACCCTGGCAGCTACTGACCAGTCAGCCTCACCTCCGTGCCTGGTAAGATGGTGGAATGGATCCTCCTGGAAGAGTTGTCGAAACGTATGGAAAACAGGGGGGTGACATGGCTCACCAAGGGCAAATCATGCCTGACTAACCTGGCGGCCGTTAACGATTCAGTGAGTGCGTCAGCGGAGGAGGGAAGAGCTATAGATGTCATCTACCTGGACTTCTGTAAGGCTTTGATACAATCCCCCACAGCATTCTTGCTGCTCATTTGGAGAGCTATGACAGGTGGACTGTTAGATGGATAAGGAATTGGCAGGATGTCCTCGTCCAAAGAGTCAATGGCTCGGTGTCCTAGAGGAAACCAGTCATGAGTGGTGTTCCTCAGGGTTCTGTACTGGGATGAATACTGTTTAATATCTTCATCGGTGACACAGGCAGTGGGACTGAGTGCACCCTCAGCAAGTTTGCAGATGACACCGAGCTGAGTGGTGCAGTTGAGGGAAGGGAGGCCATCCAGAGGGACCTTGGCAGGCTTGAGGAGTGGGCCCATGGGAACTTCAGGACGTTCAGCAAAGTCACGCTCAAGGTCCTGCACCTGGCGTGGGGCAATGCCCGATATCAATACAGACTGAGGGATGAATGGATTAAGGGCACCCCTGCAGAGGAGGACTTGGAGATACCGGTGGGTGAAGAATCTGATGTGAGCCAGCTATGTGCACTTGCAGCCCGGAAAGCCAACCGCGTCCTGGGCTGCACAAAAAGAAGCACGGCCAGCAGGTCAAAGGAGCTGCTTCTTCCCTTCTACCCCACTTACGGGAGACCCCAGCTGCAGCGCTGTGCCCGGCTCTGGGCCCCCCAGCACAAGAAAGACGTGGGCCTCTTCGAGCGGGTCCAGAGGAGGGCCACCAAAATGGACAAAGGCCTGAGGCCTCTCCAGTGAAGAAAGGCTGCAACAGCGGGGATTGTTCAGCCTGGAGAAGAGAAGGCTCTGAGGTGACCTTACTGAGGCCTTTCAGTGCTTAAAGGGGGCTTCTAAGGAACCTGGAGAGAGACTTTTAACAAAGGTCTCTAATGACAGCACAAGGGGAAATGGCTTTAACCTGAAAGAGGGTCGATTTGGGTTGGGCACAGGGAGGAAATCTTTTATGATGAGGGTGGTAAGACACTGGAGCGAGTTGCCCAGAGAAGTTGTGGACGTGCCGTCATTGGAAGTGTTCAAGGCCAGGTTGGGTGGGGCTTTGAGCAACTTCTAGTGCAAGATGTCCCTGTGCACAGCAGAAGGGTTTGACTAGATGATCTTCAAAGGTCCCTTCCAGCCCAAACCACTCTGTGATTCTATGATTTGGAAAGATGAAAGGAATAGACAGAAATGTCTAAAATGTTTTCTAAACTTTCATACCTCCGAGCAGGGTCCCCTTCCACGTACGCCCAGACAGCAGAAGCATAGGATCAACGGACATCACTGCACCAGAAGCTGCTACCCCAATCATCACGCAGACACCCGTGTTCATATTGCAGGCAGCCAGGGCAGCAGTCTGATGGGACAGGCAGGCAAATTAGAGAGCGCCCTGGAGAGTTTGTCAGAAGACAGTTCTTTCTGTGGGGTCGTCTGCCCCTCCCTGGTAGTCAGAAAACACATACTCCCTTGTGCAGCAGGCACGGTGAGCTCCGTGCCTGTTTTGAAACTTGTACGCCATAGTTTCCCAAAGCCAACAGAGAGCCTTTCTGATCAAGGATGAGCCCAGCAGTGCAGGCAACAGGCAAGGAACTTCCCACCGGGGTGAATTTTGCCTGGCTGGGAGGCT